CCTTTACGATGTTAGGGCTTTCAGAGGTGCCGATGTATTTACTGACCATTTCCTGGTGGTAAGTAAAATCAAGTTGAAACTAAAAAGATTTATAACATCTTATAATCATAGAAACCAATATAATGTAGGCTTTCTCAGAGATAAAGAAATTATGGAACAGTTCTCAGTTACGGTCTATAATAAGTACCAGGTGTTGCAGCATTTAGCTGAAGATGTCAACACAGAAGTCTGCTGGGATCAGATCAAAGGAATCTGGAATGAATCTTGCGTAGAAGTTCTTGGCAAGAAAGAAAGGAAACATAAAGCATGGATAACACCAGAAACCATGAAACTGATTGAAGATAGGAAAAGTAAATAGGCAGAATTAAACAATAGCAAAACTAGAGCTGCTAAAGCTAGAGCTCAGGAAAAATACACAGAAGCCAACAAGGAAGTTAGGAGGCATATAAGGGCAGATAAAGTGAAATATCTAAATGATCTAGCACAAGAAGCAGAGACAGCAGCAGCAAAAGGAAACCTCAGAGAACTTTTGAGTAACACAAGAAAATTAGTAGGTAAATATAGTCAGCCAACTGGATCAATCAAAAATAGTCAAGGAAAGATGCTTACTAACACTAAAGATCAAATAGACAGATCGGTTGAATATTTTGAAATGCTTCTAAATAGACCAGGCCCAGAGGTTCCCCCAGATATTCAGCCTTTAGAATATCAACTGTAAGATACCATCCAAAGAGGAAATTAAAAAAGCTATAAATCTTCTTAAGGAAGGAAAGGCGACAGGCCCAGATGGTATTCCAGCTGAAGCCATCAGGACCAACATAAACACATCAACATAATTTCTACATAGATTATTCAGTAAAGTCTGGGAGACCGAAGAAATACCAGCAGACTAGAGAGAAGGATATCTTGTGAAACTGCCCAAAAAAGGTGATCTACAGAAGTGTGAAAACTATAGAGGAATTATGTTGCTGTCAGTTCCTGGAAAAATATTAAGTAGAAATATTTTGGAAAGATTAAAAGATGCTATTGATAAAATGCTAAGAGATGAGCAGGCAGGTTTTCGGTCATACAGATCCTGTACTAATCAGATAGCCACATTACGTATTATAATAGAGCAAAGCATTGAACTGAATTCAACACTTTACATTGGATTTATAGACTATGAAAAAGCATTTGACAGCATAACTGAAGAGGGGAAAATCGTGGCTAGGTCGGGCAGAAGATGTTATTAGGCAAATATGCAGACTAACCGATATCATACCTGGTGCAGAATGGATACCTGTGCTTCAGGCGTTTATTTGTACATTTTCCTGTATTGTCACACTCAACAGGCGATTTAGAGAAGAAAATCCTTTTGCTGTTAATGCAGAGGTCAACGCTCTCATCGGTGAAAATTCAGACGAAGCAGATGCACTAATCTATATAGACGGATCCAAAGAAGAAGCGCATGGGCATTTACAGCACGCTCAGCGGACAGAACAGTCAAAGAAGCCAACGGCGCCTTCTCCATGACAACCAGCAGCATTACGATGGAGTTGATGGCAGTGACGCAAGCTTTTGCCTGGCTTGAAACACAAAAATACACCCGCATATGTATACTCAGTGATTCAATGAGTATGATCCGGAGGGTTCAGGCAGGTTCAGTGCGAAGACAATGGCTTGAATCAATTCAGAAGTCCACTGTGCGAGGAGTCATCTTTATTTTTGTTTCGGGACACGCAGGCGTCGATGGATATGAAAGAGCTGACAGGTTGGCTAGATCCGCTATCACTACCGACGGGTCGGCCTATGGATCATGCTGATATTATCAATGCCCTCAGAGAAATGGGAAGGATAGACGACTTTGGTGGCAGTGAATCCACATCACTCGCCAGAATGGCAGACTTGGGAATTTAGATCGGCACAGCAAAAAACGAGACGCACACCGGACACGTCAGAAAACTTGTTAATCAACATAGAACTGGTACTATTAGCCATCGGACGTTGGGGTTCATACTGAGGGGAGGATCTGAGCACCTATGGACATGTCCGGAGTGCAATGATGATAACCCAACTAACTAACTAACTAACTAACTAACTAACTAACTAACTAACTAACTAACTAACTAACTAACTAACTAATTTGACAGCATAGATAGGGAATCTCTCTGGAAATTGATGGGGCACTATGGAATCCCACAGAAAATTATCAACTTAGTAAAGGCGACATATAGAGACATGAAATGTCGAGTTCTTCATGAGGGAAAGCTAACAGATGCATTTGAAATAAAAACAGGTGTGCGACAGCGATGTCTTTTGTCGCCTCTCTTATTTTTACTGGCTATAGACTGGACTATGAAAACAGTAACTGCTAACACCAAGAATGGAATTCAGTGGACCCCTACAAAACAGCTTGATGATCTGGACTTCGCTGATGATATTGCTCTTCTGTCCCATTCACGGAATCAGATGCAAGATAAATTAAATATACTTAATGCGACAGCAGCTTGGTCTGAAAATCCATAAAGGAAAGACAAAGATAATGAGAATAAATCAGGCAAATAGTAATGTGGTTTCTCTTAATGGCACCCCACTCCAAGACGTGGAGTCGTACACCTATTTAGGCAGTAATGTAGATAAAGATGGAGGAACTGATAGAGATGTTAAAAAAAGAATACAAAAGGCAAGAGGGGCTTTCATAGCACTAGGGAATTTTTGGAGGTCAAAAGAAATTAAAAGAAATACTAAACTAAAAATTTTTAATTCTAATGTCAAATCAGTACTATTGTATGGGGCGGAAACATGGAGAACAACCAAGGCAATTACTAATAAATTACAGACATTCATTAACTGGTGCCTGAGCAGAATAGAGGGAATAAAATGGTATGATAGAATAACTAATGTAGAACTTTGGGAGAGAACTAAACAGGCTCCAGTGAATCAGGAAGTGAGGAAAAGACGCTGGCGTTGGATAGGGCAGACGCTGAGAAAACAGGAGAACAGCATTGCTAGAATGTCTTTTCATTGGAACCCACAGGGGCATAGGAATAAAGGAAGGCCAAAAAACACATGGAGAAGAGAGCTGGAGAACGAGGTTAGAAAGATTGGGAGGACATGGGGAGAGCTCCATGCAATGGCGAAGGATTTGGCGTGAGTTGGTTGAGGGCCTATGCTCCATTGGGGGATAGAAAGGCAGAAGAAGAAGATATATATATATATATATATATATATATATATATATATATATATATATATCTTCTTCTTCTTTATTTATATATATATACACATGTTTTACCCGAAGCTGAACTGGGAGAGAAGAAGAGGGTTGGAGATGGACGTGTGAGGCTGAAGATATATAGAGACGTGATAGATTGTATTGTGTTAGGAGTTGAAAGATAAGGACTGTTAGCGTTGTCGTCAGATGTATTGGTTAGCTGTTGGTATTCCTCGAGTGCTTATAGTGTTCTAAGACAGTTGTGTTGGTGTTGTGTCGTGCGTAAGTAGTTGTTCTTGTCTATGGGTTATTAGAGTTTAGCTGCGTTTTGTGCTGGCCGCTAATACTTGAACCACTCACACTGTGTGTGCCACTGAGTCTCGCATGGTGAGGTGCGAAGCCTAGTTAGCGCTGTAAGACAGTGAGGTGGAATCGAGTCCTCTTGTACATCCATGGGAACGGCTCGGGTGGATAAGTAAATATAAATGTCGGATTAGGGACTGTCCATAACTGTTGAGGTTGCTTTAGGTTGAAAGTCTCTTTGTGCATTAAAGATTATGTGTTTACTCAATAGGTGTGTGTTTTATGTGTGCTCTAGTATAGCGTGTCTGTCACAGGGCCATACAACGAGCTGTAGTTAAGTAGCATAGATACAAGTGCCTTGACAACACGTATATCAGCAAGAAAGGATTTTAACTTGTGAAGACGCTACTGGGCCATATTTGTGTATATGACGCCGCTGTGCTGTCATCCATTTTACACCCCTCAGCTAAACTTCAACATCAACACTGCCTTAGTTCTAAATGCCAGAACTCTGTTCTAATGCGTGTCTGACAGTGATTAAAGGGAAGTAATTAAATATATTGTTTTACTGTTTTTTTTTTTTAAATATTTCGTTGCCCTAATAAATTCCAAATTTATGTGGAATAAAGATAGGTGGAATAACAAACATAGCAACAATTTACCAGCACAGCAGACCGTGATGCTTTGTCCAGAATACACGAACATTTAAGAAAGCGATTTGATTGGTAACCTATGGTGCCATTTAAATGGTTTTAGATGAATTATGTCAGTATTCTAGAGTTGTGGATTTCAATCTGTACGATAGACATGCTAAAGAAGACACCCTTTTTGGGGTGCCTAGCTGGTTGTGTTCTTAGCACGCTTGTCTCCAAAACGAGGCGCACACCTTCTGGAGTTGACAGGTCTGATTCCGGGCACGGTAACCTATTCTTTATATTTTTATGTTGTCTGGTGTGTCCTTCTGTCTTTTTACTTCTTTCTATGAGTGTCAATTAAAACATTGTCTCTTTGTTAATTATATGTATAATATTTCTAATGTTGTAAGGGTTCCCCCTCTGTTTATTTATGTATTGACTGGAACGTCAACAGGTATAGTTGTTTTAAACTAGAGAAGAGAATGAGAGACCTGTATCGTGGCAAAGATTGGGCCTTGTTTTAGAATTAGCAACCAGATGGATTTTTGATGTTATAATTTTGTGTGTGTGTGTGTGTGTGTGTGTGTGTGTGTGTCAAGAACCGCTGCCGAATGCTCAGACTCTTGCCTCCCAGGAAAAGACCAGAGTTCAATTCTCGGCAAGGGATGGAGACTTGTTTCAGTTAAAATAAACAAATCTAGTTAAAAGGCGACAACAAATCCATGTTTGCACAGTTCATGATGGTTGTGCTGGCCACCTGACCTTAAGTCTTTAGACTCACGACCCCAGTGTTGTACACAGCTTTGAAAGTCGTTAACACAAACAGTAAAAATAGTTTTGACCTGACAATTATTCTTAAAACTAAAAGTTTATGTTAAATCTTTATAGCTTTTAGCGTTTTTATTCCCTTTTGTGAGCTTGCTGGAACGGACATATATCACAAAATCTCCAAAGCAGTTCAGACAAAATAACACATCCTGAACAGAATATAATATTTTCCTCAACGCTACGTCGTGGTCTATCGGTGGGATATCTGCAATATATGTAATAATGAACCCAAACCCACTGCATACAATGTACAAAACACAAATACTGAGTAAAGTTCTAGTTGTCTTTGACATGGGGTTGTTTCTCTCTGTACTTGTTTTACTCGAAGTCAGTTGCTTACGTCTTTTTGTGATTATGATGACTTGGATACCTATAACACCACAGCCAATCGTTACCAGGCAAATGGGTATTACTCCAGTCATATAATTAATTGTGCTATTTATGATCCCAAAAGTGCCGCTTCGAACATGAGAATAGTACATATCAGTGTGGACAATAACACCAATAATAAAGTCTTTTGTGACTAACTGTTTAAAATTCATGCATAATGCACCTCGATAGAGGAAGAAACATCCGTTGAGAACATAAAGACAACTTAGTACAATGATGGTACGCCGACGTGTTAAAATAAAATATGCCTTGAGCGGATACAGTATCGCCAATATACGTTCTCCTGTTATTAGAACAGGGATGAGCATTGCGGTCTGAAGCCCCATATTATGGGCAAATAAAAACAGCATATATAAAATATGAAACACATAGTTTATGATCTTTGAAAACCGGAATCCTTGAGGAACATTATCCTGGTATATATAAAAAGGAAAGTTATTTATGCCAATCAGATAAAAAATGTCAGAGATGGACAGAGCTAAGAGAAGTATATTGGAACATTTTCGGAATCCCCGCCTTGTCAGTATGATAACGCTGGTCACGTTACCGGCGATTCCCAAAAGGCTGATGCAGGGAATAAGTCCATAACGAAATACCTTGTAGATTAATTCTGTCGGGTCCTCGGTGATAAGTTTGGGTTGTGCAGTTGTCTTTGAAACATAAAAAGACCCGTTAGACATCTAGACTGTATTAGTAAAATATGTTTACAGTTCAGCGGATCATATCTGTTCCACCTGGTTTTATCCCGCTTGATTCAGTTTCTTTCCACAGAGCAGGTGCTCAAAGACAGTGTCTAACACGTGCGGAAACACTCAGAGATCATCATGGTCTGAGGACAGTGTTGTAGTGAGGGGTGACCATCGCATCTGACTGGATGACACTCAACACTCAGAGCAGATCGTCACTGTTTGAAGAGTACAAGTGAGGACTGAGAGGAGTACAGGCTGACACTCAACTCAGATGAGATACAAAATGGACATACAATTGGCTTGCATGTTTTTTTTAACTATCCAAACAGGCACAGTGAGCTGTATGCGAAAAATGGTTATGGAGCGCTTTTTATATTGACCTGAATGCTATTATGTTTGTTTTTACCTCATTCCCAGTCTAGCATTTCACAAACCATGCCTGCATGTTGATTCAGCGACCGACGACACAGATCTCCGATCACTCGCAAATTGAACTGTAATCTAACCAGCGATGTAGAGAAAAGCTGCTTAACAGCTGACATGTATTAATTCATTCAACAGCTGAATAACAGCTTGAGTGCAAGTGTATGGTATTAATAACAGAAACATGTATTATATCATACATGTAAACAAGATAATAAGAGAAGCGGCAAGATGGCTTTTGGAGCAGAACTAGTTGCACCTTATGCTAATGAATTTCTTGTGCAGTTGAAGATTTAATATTTCTCTAACATCTTCCTTGAGTGTAAATGGCAATTCTAGCGACGGACAGTATTGACACTTCTGGTGACTGCCGTGTGCATTTAATGTGGATGTACGATATTGTCTTTGCTGACGCTGCAGTCTTTTTTTTTGTTTTCCTTTTTTTTTTTTGGTTTTTTTTTTGGTTCACTTGGGACAGCAATTGGTATTTGCTTGCATTCTCACTGGTTTATCCTACCTATGAACATATACATCAGTCCGATGTTGTCTCCGCATCGCAGTCTGGCTGTATGAATCTGCAATATTATATATCTACAACTGTTTCAAGACTTTCTAAATCTGTTGAACACTCTTTAGAGAAGTTATGTATTTTGACGAGAATAATTTCACATACAACGATTTGCGCACAATTTATTGGAGCAAAGAAGTTAGCTGCATATTCTTCACAAGATAACCACAAACATTTGTTGTCTGTCTGTAGATGACTAGACAGTTTTATGTTCTAAATTGCTTTCTAAAGAATGACATTTATACCAGTGTCAAAATCAACGCAAAGTGATCTGCTGCCGAATGGAACCGCCTTATGTTGGAATTAAGAAACTGAACTCATAGCCCTCAAAACACAGACGCTGACATAGAAGAGTTCATCCCGATTTTTAAGAAACATTAGCATACAATGTATTTTTTATATTACATGCATAAAACAGTGCACCTCCCCAGGCAACCCTCCCCCCCCCCCCCCCCCCCCCCCCCCCTTTTCCTCTCGCCCGCACTCTCAGATTTTGTGAAAATGTATTGCAATTATTGCTGGAGAACAAACTAATTGTTAAATGGCTCAATTAAATTCCGAACAAAAGGGTGATGTCTGTTTAGCAAGAATTCCCCCTCCGATTGTTCACAAGCAATTATTCAGGCCGTACTTGTCCCGTCCTCACAGCTGAAATAGGTGCCGACATTGTACGATTGTAACCCTTGAACAATTCACGGTAGTCGAAAACCGAATTTATCTGAAAGTGTTCCATAGCGTTATTCTTTCATTTACGTTGTAATCACTTAACAGGAAAATACTGGCTTATGCGCAAATCGTTTTCTTCTGTGCTTTCATTCCGCATTAATAATTTTGTAATAACTCTTTCCACAGTAATTGGTTGCTACGGAAGTGGGGTTTGTAATTAACAGGAAACGGAATCATTGGCAGTTCATTAATCGTCGTATTTCATTGAATTAACTTCAGTTAAAATTAGGTAGATGTTGGACGTAGCATAGGTATTTGTTAAACATATACTGTCTGTGTCTCTTTGTATGTCGAAATCAGGAAATTGCACCAGTTAAATTTCTTACTTTCTCTTGACCTAGTCTTTGACATTCATTAATAATATGAGGCAAGGAACATTGCAAACATTTTATAAAAATTCATCCTCTTCTTGTAGTCCATGTCGTGTGGTGCTGATAATCATGGATGCCCAAACAATGAAAATACTTCTTTTGTAAATCATTTCTGATACATTTATGCTTTTACCTCATGATGCCAGCATGTCTGGTATCTTCTGGGTTCTTCTTCATATGCTTCACTGACCCCGCCCGCCCCCCCCCCCTCCACCAGCTTCCCATTGTCGTGATATATTCGTGTTTTTCCCTTCGCATGAAGCACTCAAACTGTTTCATTCTTTAACAAGCATACCATAGAAGACGACTAATTAAGGGGATGTCTACTTCAAAAACGGAGTACATCTGTCTAAGAGGCAATAATGCAACAGTCAGCATTTATATAAGACATATCTATAAAATAGATGTCCAAACAAAGCTCAACTGCTGGGTCAAGCCCAAGTCCAGGAAAAAAGGAACAGCCAGAACTTGCAGCCGTAGAAGAAGACAGAGTAGGAGTAGAAGTATGAGGAGACAAATAAGAACAAATATTTGTTAAAGGACATTACTTATAACGTGTCGTTCGTTTCTCTCAATCTCTCTCCCTCTCTCTCTCTCTCTCTCTCTCTCTCTCTCTCTCACTCTCTCTCACTCTCTCTGTCTCTGTCTCTCTCTCTCTCTCTCTCTCTATATATATATATATGTATGTATATATATATATATATATATATATATATATATATATATATATTCAGGGCATTCGTTATAATATCTGTACATTACAGTTTTTATTACAGTTTTTAACCACGAAACTGTTATATACTGTGTATATGACACTGTTTATACTCTGTGGACAGGACACTGTCTGTATACAGAACATCTATATTAATAAAAATCTTAATTTTCCGAGTTTGTTAACTAAAAACTCGGAAACTACTGAACGGATTGCTTTAAAGTTTTCACACAACGTTGCCTTTGACTCACTGCGTAGCTCCAGCAAGGGTCAAAATCATTATTTGTTTCGTTGCCGGCCCGGATTTGTTTTTAGTTGTTTGGCCATTTTTGACTGCTGAGCTCTTATTGAACTTTGCATTAGTATATAATTTCATTTCTATTTTCTGCTTGAGTGTTTGGTAGCGTAGTTATAACTATTCCGCCTATCATGCGAGTGACTAGCGTTCGATTCTCCGCTAGGTGATATAACATTTTTTTTCAGCCCTTAATTGAGCGGCTGGCACGTTGTGTTGTGGTTTATGGCTAGGCTGCAATATCTACGCCTTTTTCGGTTTTTAGGGTTTACAGCTAGCCTGCGACAGCGGCGACGTGATGCTCAATGAACATGTCACTGGTAATCTTTGTTCGCACTCGAGAGGGCTGTTGGCCGTTATGCCAGACACAGTTAGCTGAGAGAGCTTAAAATATTATTTTAAAGTTCTCATTTCTTAACTATTTATATTTTATTAATTTCGCCATTGATGATTTTTCAATCCTTCGGAGAGGGAGATATGACTTCGCCTGGTGATGATTTTTCAATCCTTCGGAAAGGGAGATATGACTTCGTCAGGTGATAATTTTTCATTTCTTCGGAGAAGGAGATATGATTGTTGGGGGAAGGGGGGGGGGGGGTTATGCCAGACACAGTTATCTGAGAGAGCTTAAAATATTTTTTTTATGTTCTCATTTCCTAACTATTTCTATTTTAATAATTTTGCCAGGTGATGATTTTTCAATCCTACGGAGAGAGATATGATTGGTGGAAAGGGGTGGGGGGTTATGCCAGACACAGTTAGCTAAGAGAGCTTAAAATATTGTTTTAAGTTCTCATTTCTTAACTCTTTCAATTTTAATAATATATAGCCATGGATGATTTTTTAATCCTTCGGAGAGGGTTGAGGGGGAAAGGGGGGGGGGGGGTAATATGACAGACACTGTTAGCTGAGATCTATTTTCTTTCCTCTCCATTTCACCATTCTGGGCCACAGCAACGCGTGGCAGGGTACAGCTAGTCATTAATAATATGTGTACAAGACTGGGAAATTTGTCATGAGCACTCTTCTGCATGGTAGTCAAACGTGGTCGACTATCATTTACCAGTTACTAGGCTGAATGACCTATATAAGTATTTAACATTACCAAAGTTTTACGTTACTAAAGAAAGCCACATGGAGGTCTACCCCTGGATATTCATTTGGATTGCAGCAGTCCTGTGTGATCGTCAGACTACTTTTCGCGTTGATTTGTGTTCTGTATCGTATCGTATCGCGCCTGGCTTCCCACAGGGGTTCATTATTTACCCTGAGCCTTTAAAAGTGCACACAAGCAGGATAGCGGCAATAGAGTCAGTAGCGACTAGGAGAATTTTGACTTTTGCTGACGATGTGTCTACAGACTGGGGGAATAATGGGCTATAACATTGATCTCGACAACAGAGCGGTATTGTGGTGTTCATTAAATAATCGAATTGTTAGAGACGAGGTTTCGAACATAACAATGCATGGTAGTAACACAAAGAGAGAGAATTCATTATAATATCTTGGTATCAATTTTAACAATAGCCTGATAGCCTGTTGTTCAAGTATCAGGTGGAATAGGTAGTGTTAAAGATAAGTAAAGATCTAAATGCTGACGATGTAATGGTATGAGCGGACATGAAACAGAAAATGCTCTAGACACTCTATCAGTAACTGATTATTTCAGCGATTGAGTATGGTTTGGGCCTGCTCACGTAATCTAACTAATGCTATAGAGGCTGAAATACATGTGAAATCAAGTCGTGTGAGTCATTTTTGGATGCACGCGAGACACGCCAATTGTATGCATGCAGCACAAAATTGGATTGACGTCCGTTTTTGGAATGTACATTTTTCTACAGGCGAAAATGAACCTTAAAGTGGCAACGGACAGGCAACACCTTGCACATTCGG